CACTCACATCAGCCTCCCAAAGGCGTGGGATTACAGGCTAAGCCACCGAGCCCGGGTAAAAAAAATTTTTAAACGAAATGTTAGATGTTAATATTGAGAGTAACATCATTGAGATTGTCCCAGAGACTGCTTCAAAAACTGTTATAGCTGAGCTTAATTTTCACCTCCACCAGGTCTGACTTACTCATTCCCATCAAGGGGACCCTCCTCCCCACTGGTCACTCAGGCCCTTCTTCCCAAGTTGCAGCTCAGCTTTCTTCCGTGCTCCACACTTGGCCAGTTTACAGACAAGAAAGCCCATAGGAGAGCCCCCCGGAAGGTACAGTTACCTCGTCCAGGCTGTTCTGCTGGCAGGGGAAGGAGAAGGTGAAGCCCAGAGGCAGGGACACACCCTTCATGCCCATGTACTCGAGGAAGTCAGCGATGCACTGGACGATGTGGTCAAAGAGCTGCAGGGAGAATAGGGGCACTGAGGGAGGGGCCTTGGCCAGGGCAGGCTGCCCCCAGTGGGGCCTGAGCGCAAGTTCAAGGTTTGTAACCGGAAGAAATGCAGACTCAGACACAAACCTGAGTAAAGACCAAGTTGGGGTCATAGGAAGGCAGAGAAAGCACCGTCCTCTAAAGCAAGGAGTGGCATCCACTGGGGGCCCTCCTGGGAGGCGCCACCCTGCCTTACCTCATCCCCTGTGCCGTGCATGACCTCCTGCGGGATAGAGTAGATCTTGTTGTGCATCTCCACTCCGCCCCACTTCCCGTTCCGCACCCGCACGAGCAGGACCCGGAAATTCGTTCCTCCTAGGTCCAAGGCCAGGAAGTCCCCTTTCTCTGGAAAATAAACCCAGGAAGGGGATTAGCTGGGGCATCATCATGGCCAAGAGTGACAGTCTAGGCACCTTCCCCTCCGTGGGGCTCTCTCTGGAGCCCCTGACACCCTCAGGGAGTGAGGGACCTAGAGCTCCACTGACAGTGAAGAAAATGAGATCCCTGGGACCACATCTCTGCTGGCTCCTTTGTGGTTCTCAAATATGTACAAGTACAGGGCCTCAGAAGCCACGGTGAGCAATGCTGATGCAGTAAAACTATCCAGACACACCATTCATGCTCCATCAAATGCCACTTTAGAAAAGGAACAGCAAAGTCCACCTCTCTGAAGGAAATTGAAGGGATATCTTTTAAAATGAGAAGCCACTCCCTTGCTGGGCAATTATCCAATGTGTCTCACACAGTCCTCATTCAGCCCTCAGGCAGCTCCAGGAAAGAGGCAGTTCATTCCTTTCTTATGGATGACTGAGACCTGACTGAGCTAGGTTAAGTCACTTGCCCAGGGCTACACAACCAGAACAGGATGCAGCAGGGACCAAATCCCAGATTCTATACCTGGAACCTGTACCGACTATGCTATACTGGCCTGCCCCTCAACTGTCTTCTCTGAACTTGGAAAAGACTACCATTTCTTAGGTTGCAAGACTTATGCCAGGGTCAAACATCTTTTTTGGTAAAGGCCCAGACAGTAAACATTTAAGGCTACATGGGTCCTACAGTCTCTGCTACAACCACTCAGCTTTGCCGTGGTAGTGCAAAGCAGCCATAAACAATACACAGACACATGAGCATGGCTATGTACTAATAAAACTTTATTTACAAAAACGGGTGGTAGGCCACATTTGACCATAATAGTTTGCTGACTCCTGACCCAGATCAATGTGGTGGTTGTGACAGCAGGCTCTAGAAACTGAATTCCTAAGTGTGATTCCCAGCTCTGGCATCTTTCTAGTTGTGAGAACTCGGGGAGGTTTCTTAACTTCTCTGTGCTTCCATTTTCTGCTAAACATAGCAGTTTATTAAGAAACAAAATGAACTGCTCTTTTTCAACAGTTAACAAAAACACACACATAAAGTGCTTTGACACATAGTAAGTATTCAATAAGTATTAACCATTATTACTGTTCCATGTCAGCAGAAGAACACCTTGGTGGAGCTCATAGAACATATGAATTCCCTAGTAAAATAGGGGGGAAAAACCACACTATGATTCAAATGTCCAATGCCAATGCTAAGGGAGCCCTCCTAGCATCTACACCAGGACAAAGGCCCGCCATGTGAGACAGATGGCAACACTGCCACGTACCTGTGCCATCAGGGGTAGCACACACATAGGTGGGCAGCATCTTGACAGGGGCAATGGTGTGAGTCTCCTTGCTCAGACCTCGTTCCATTTCCAGTTTCATCCTCTTCTTGATCTCCAGCAGCTGCTCGCGGCTCAGTTGCAGAGGCTCTAGGGTCTTCTGGCGGGCACGCTGTTGGTCTGCCAGCCGGTAAGCCACCGCCGTCACCATGGCTGCCCCTTTGCCACTGCCATCCTCGGAGCGGAGGAAGCGGACATCGCAATCAGGCACCAGCCGCCGCACGGTCTTGTGAAGATGCTTAGCAAAACTGTAGTCACCCAGATAGGGTAAGAGACAGGTGTTCATGGTTAGGGTCAGTAGGGTGAATGGCTGAACAGTAGCTCACCACCTCAGCCTGAATGCCAGGAGGCACCTACAGGAGCTGAAGCTGCCCTGAACAGCCTCTCCCTACTCTCCCAGGTTGGGAGTCACTGAAAAAAACTCAGATATTCAACTGTGACCACCCCAGTTAAGTTTACTTCCCCATTGGTAGGATTTCCTAACCAGCCACTGTCTCCTGCATCTCCTGTATGCAATCACACAAGAACTCCACTTCCTCACTGAGCTGGCTCTCAGGCCATGGCTTCTCTGCCCAAGGTGGACCCATCAGCCCTTTTTGCTGAAGCAGCCCAATGGAATCAGCTGGAAGCTCAGTCCGTCACCCAGGCTAGAGTGCAGTGACACACTCACGGCCACCCCAGTGTCAACCTGCTGGGCTCTAGCAATCCTTCCACCTCATCCTTGCAAGTAGCTAGAACTACAAGCATGTGCTACCACACCTGGCTAATTTTTTATTTACTGTAGAGATGAGATCTCGCCAAGTTGCCCAGGCTGGTCTTGAATCCACGGGTTCAGGCAATATACTCACCTCGGCCTCCCAAAGTGCTGAGATTATAGGCTGAGCCACCAAGCCCGGCCACCACCTACTTTTTTTGTGTGCCATCACCCATTTCACTAGCTGCTGCCTTGGAAAGATCCAAAATAGAAAAACTAGAAATGCTCTTTTGAACTTTGGCCCTCTTTTGCCAATTTCTGCCAATTTCTAAAGGTGTCCACACAGCTAAAGACAACAAGAATGTTCAGTAAGAAACTCTCAGGTGGTGGCCAAGTCGAGCCATGGTCTCCAGGGCCTCCCTGCTCCAAGAGGGGCCTGTGGGCCTCAGCCTCACCGGGGACTGTTAGAGATGCCAGATCTCAGGATGCAGGATTTCAGACCTTCTGAACCAGAACCCGCCTCTTACCACGATTCTTGGGTGACTCATGTGCACACTCAAGTTTTTCAGACCTGGGGCTACGATTGGGTAATCTCAGGCCTGAGGCCTTCTGGACCAGCCAATGAAGGCAATGAAGGCACAGTGACCTGGGCTCACATCAGGTGAAAATTTGGGGGAAGTAAATGTGTACAGAAGAGAAATGACTTCCAATCCCCACTGAAATGTGAACATGTTGGTACATACGACCCAAGGGATCAAAATATGGATGGGCAGGATCAATTTAATTTCGAGGCCAGTCAGAGAGGCTGGCAACTCACGGGACTGGGGCTGTCCCTGGCCGGAACCACCAAGGATCATGAGAGAGTAACAAGAGAAAAACAATCTCATGAGAACGACAAGGTGGGAAACAGTGCCAGCCAGAGGAGTCCCACATACAGTCCGTCACCAGTGGCCTTCAGAACTCACCTCCACCCTCAGCAGACATGGTCCTTCCCATTTTCCCTTGCCCAGGTGGGAACTTTTATTCTACCCAGACCCTCAGCTCCTTGGTCCATCCACACCACCCCTGGATGGAGGTGGCCTGTGGAATTGCCCAGGTCCCCAGGCGCTCTGGGAGCTCGGTCCCTCCTGGCCCTGGATGCAGACTCACTGGGGGTGTTTCTTGTAGACAGAGCCGTCAACCCCGATGGTGGAGCGCAGCCGGTCCTCGCCCTTGTTCTCCTTGATGCGCCACAGCACGGCAGCCAGGGTGGCTGCACACAGGCTGGCTGAGCGTGTAGACACGATCTGGCAGATCCGGTGAGTGGCCACACAGTCCTCCTGGGTCGGGTCCAGGCCCAGTCGCATCAGGACCTCACGTGCCTTCTGGATGCCATCCTTCTCCCTGGGAAACAGCAAAACAGCTGGGCACATGTCTGACTCACTGTGGCCAGCATAGGGGTACAGCAGGGAAACCACTCAGCTCTAGCAAACGCCATTGCTCAGGGGGGTTAGAATCCCTCCTTACTGCTCAGTGCCGGGCACTCTCCACACACACACACACACACACACACACACACACACAATGCCACCCTGCCTCACCCCTCCAGGTGTTCTGCTTTCCTGATGAGAAAAACTAGTTGCTCTTGCGCATGTGCTATGTGGGGACAAGGCCGTGTTCTTGGTGCTTCGCATGTCGAGTTTTGTGTGTGTGTTTGTGCTATGTGTTTGCCTGGGCCAAGACAGTGTCTCTGTCAGCAGCCACTCTCGGTCTGTGAACCCAGCTGTGTGCCTACCTGTTTTTCCTCTAGAGCAGCCAGAGTCTCTCACATCTAACCATGGAGTTGGCACTGCTTTCACTGTGTCTAAAGATGATGGTGAAAGGGTGGTGCTATGATCTTACGACCCCCACCCTTCTCAAGGGAAAAATGCCTCACAAATATAAGTACTTGCATCACCTAGGGGTTTAGCAACAAGTAGGTGCAGTTCCTTCAAGAGTTTCCACTTAAAACAGAGTCCTTTGAACTGTTTCACCAGAGTCACCTCCTCCTTTTGACACCAAAGTCACCTCCTCTCTGCTATCTGGTCCCTGAAACAGGACCTCTTCAATATCTATGGGTGGAAATCTCAAGAACAGCAAACTAGGCCCGACTCTTGGGATACTGTTAACTGAAAAACAAAAAGCAGGCCGTCCTCACAGCCACCCTTGCCAGGCTGTGAAAATGCAGCCCTCAGCTCTACCTATTAGAACTAAATGGGTAGGTGTACCTCTGGCCAATCCAAAGACCTAGCTTTCTCTTATGAAGTGGGGGTCAGGTCAGAGTCCTTTTTGAGAATCACCAATAGGGAATGAGATGCATAGCTTCAGAAGAAGGAAAAGGAGACAGAAGCAAATGAGTCCTACAGGGGCCCTTTGGGAGCCCCCAGCTTTAAACCTACTGCAACAGTCCAAGTCTCTGCAGACGAAGGCCAACCGTTCCCAGCACCGTGAATCAGTAACCACACTCAAGCAGACAAGAGTAGAGACCGGTGAGTGAAGTGAAGCCACAAGACCACCATGCTCCACTTTGTGCAAGACCATCTTGCAACCTGCACTGGAAGGCGTCAAAGGCCAGTGTCCCTTCCTCATCCTCCCACCTGTCTACCCTGGTGGAGACCTAATGAACAGAAGGGGCCGGACGGGAAGCTCACCCTTCAATGTCTGATATGTCTTTGGTCTCAAAGCGGCCGGTTTTGAGGAGCTCTGGGCTGAGCTTCCCCCCGAAGAGCAGTTCCTCCTTGGCCATCTTCACCAGGATAAGTCTCACCAGCTCTCCCATGTACATCCCACTGATCATCTTCTCAAACCTGAAGGGAGACACAGACCAAAACAATTAAGTCCCAGTCGGTGAGCTTACAACTTTCCCATGGAAGCAAGATGCACACATGTGAAACTTCAACACACTTAGCGGGTGGTGCACAGCTATGGGTTAACTTGTGCAGCACAGCCTGGACGCTGACCTATGGAGAAGAACGAGCCCTAAGTAGCTAAACAGAATCTCCAAGGAGTATGGAACATTCTGGAACAGCCTGAAATTTAGGTGAAATTACATGTAGAATAGTGACGTGTAAAGTTTTTCTCTAGCAAGGAAATGCTTTAAAAATTAAAATCTTATGTAGAGCCCCAATATTTACTTATAAGAGAAAAAGCCAATCTGATTAAATATAGGGCACAGGCCTCAAGACTGATCAACTCACACTGCCCACTCCTGCAGGCCGTTTATGGATTTCAGAGAAGACAGTATAAAAACAACCTGAGTTGGCCGGCAGTGGCTAATGCCTGCAATCCCAGCACTTTGGGAGGCCGAAGCGAGAGGATTGCCTGAGCTCAGTGAACCTGAGCAACTTGGCAAGACCTCATCTCTACAATAAATCAAAAAATTGGCCAGTCATGGTGGCATGGGCTGTAGTTCCAGCTACTTGAAAGATTAAGGCAGAAGGATCACCTGAGCCCAGCAGGTCGAGGATGCGGTGGCCGTGAGCGTTCCATTGCACTCCAGCCTGGGAAACAGAGACTATGACTCAAAAAAGATTAAAAAAAAAAAAAAAACCTGGTTCAGGTTGGGACAGATGAGTCAGAGCTCAGCTCTGAGTCCTAAATGTCAGATCTTGGGAATCAGAATGAAACACGCATCTGAGCAGGCAGGTGCAGAGATAAAAGCATGTTTTAGAAAGGGACACCGGTCTCCAAACCGAGAGCAATTGGGTGATTTAATTCTTCAACACTAGGTGGCATTGTTTTCATTAGAAATTCCTCTTTCTGAGACACAGGAAACCAAGCCTTCGCAATTCTTTTTGGCAAAGAAGGCCCATTTCTGGGTATCTCAGGAAGTATCTGGGTCTGAGAGAGAGGAGGCAACGGGGGCCTGGCAGTACCAACTAGGATGGGCCACGGTGAGGACAAGGCCCAGGGCAGAGGGAGGAATTCCTGTGTCACTTACCAGAGAGGAAACTCAGGTCCTCAGGAAGTGACTTGCTCAAGAGCCAAGGCCAGGTACAGCAACATTGGAGGTAAGCAAAAGCTGGCAAAATTGCTGGGAGCACAGCACGTATATTTAAAATGTTAAAACACAGGCAGGCATGGTGGCTCACATCTGTAATCCCAGCACTCTGGGAGGCGGAGGCGAGACCAGCCTGAGCAACATGGTGAGACCTCATCTTTACAGTAAATAAAAAATTAGCCAGGCATGGTGGTGTGCGCCTGTGTTTCCAGCTACTTAAAGGGCTGAGATGGAAGGATTGCCTGAGCCTAGCAGGTGGAGACTGCGGTGGTCTTGAGCATGCCATTGCACTCCGGCCTGTGAGTAAGACTCTGACTCAAAAAATAAAATAAAATTTAAAAATGTTAAATGCACCAACACAAGCACACCAGACTTCAACAGCCAGGAGCAGTCAGTCACCTCCCACAAAGCAAGTTTTCCAGCGAGTGAGGGGTGTCCCAGGGCCAGTGGGACTCCAAAGTGAGTGGGTTTTATTCCCATTTTTAAAAAACACTTTGCTCCAGTCAACATTTGGAAGATATTCACTTAGAAACATATTAGGGGAGTGGGGTGGGGGAAGGCTGTGTTGACTTCATGGCTACTATGGCCAACAATTTTGCATGTCCTCTCAGTCTTTGTCTTGTCTGAGGATAAACCAGGGGTGTGCTGTCATGGCCTGGCTGGCAAATATGTCTTCTGACACTTGAAAGGGCATGTGGTTACTCACAATGATTTGGGCATGCCTCATTAATAGAGGCAGACATCAAGTGACTTTTAGCTCACAAACCTCTCATCACCCATTGCAGACACAACCTGTACATGTTCCTAAGAAAGTTCAAGTCAGGGACTCACTTCATTTCAACATGCGAAAGAAGTTCGTAACTTCAATAAACCATGCTTTAAGAGCACAAGGACTCTCCAGGCTACCCACACTGCCCTGGTTTATAGGGTTAGATTTTCCCCTCCGAGAAGAGACCTCCACTAATGCTATCATAAAACAATCACAATAATGAGACCAGAGGGGAACTGCATTGCTCAAAATATTTTGCAACTGCCTTCAGAGCTTGCAGCAACTCCTGTTTCAAGATCTTTAATAGGGACATGTCTGTGAGGGTGAAATGATGTTTTGTAAGAGGCAAAAGTAATGAAAAACTAAGCCCGGCCAGACTAAAGAACACACGATTCGGGATCCAAAACGCTGCGGGCTCTCCTCCAATCCACCACCCCAGGACCCGGTTGGGCCACAGGTCCAGGAAAGAGGGCCAAGGAAGCTCCTGAGCCAGTTTTTCCATAGGCCCTGGGACCCTGTGGGCTAGTAATGAGCTGCCAACCATCAAAGCCTGTCCTCTGGGCAGTGATAAGTGGGAGCTACAACGAGTTTTCAGAGACCCAGTCTTGGCCATCTCAACATGAATCTTCTTAGGTGGCTTACAGCTTCTATACACAATTTACAAATAGAAAGTGGAAAGGAAGAACAGGGTCACGCATTTGGATTCAGACCTTCCAAAATGACAACTCTGAAGGATGTAGTCAAATTATTAGCTGTCACCGATGTGTCCACTGGCTCTGTGTTTTCGAGCCTCTCAGCAATTCGTAGTTACAGACGTTCCCATTCCAGTGGGCACCTTGGGAATCTTTTGGTGATGTAAGACTGTAAAGAAACCACCCTCCGGCCCTGGTCAGCCCTCACCCAGCTCCCAAGCCTATCCGCACAGAAGGGCCTACTCACAGCTGCTTCCCAGGGTTCAGCGAGCCCATGTCGATCTCCTGGTCAAACTCAGTGCGAATGTCATTGAGCGTGCCGTCGTCCCCGAAGGCCCCCCACTCCATGTTGATGCACATCCGCCCCTCGTCACCCTCCACCATGTCAATATGGCGCATCTCCTCCATGTAGCAGGCATTGCTGCCCGTGCCTGGCCAGAACAACAGCCTGCTCAGCACCGACCACACCATCCTCTCTCCACCCCCACCTCCTTCTTATACCACAGTCCCAAGACCGCCCAGAGTGACTGGGATTCTTCACTGCAGACACCTGGGGCAAACGACACACGGCCTGATCCTCTACCACTCCCAACTCCACGAGTCTTGGCTCAGTCCTCCAAGGGAACTGCACCATTCTCTCCAAATAAGAAGTGCAAGGAGCACCCAGCCCCTGGATCGCTTCTCCCTTTCCAGCACTGGCCCCAGTATCCACTCACCAACAATGAGGCCAATCTCACAGTTGTGGTCATCATAACCACAGGTCATCATGGTCCCAACAGTGTCGTTCACCACTGCCACAATGTCAATATCAAAGTCCTGTGGGGATAACAGGAGGGCTCTGACCTTTTTCATCACAGGACTACAGAAGGGAAGATGGAGAAAGAGCAAGACACACAGCTCAAGGGCAACAGGGCTGCCCCTTACTAATTCGACTCAAGCCAAAGAAGGTTAGAACTAGAAATCTGGGTCCATGGCCAGGTGGACAACAGCAACTCACTCCCCACCCTGCTCATCCTCATCACAGAGAATGACTTTCTCAGCACTGGCTGAGTCCTGCTTCTCTTCCTCCTCCCTCTCGCCCTCTTCTTCCCCATAATTTCTCCTGGGATCTTGTCTTCTCTCTGCCCCATTCTACTGCCATGTCAACATCATTCCAACTCCTTTTTTTTTTTTTTTCTGAATTGGAGTCTCACTCTGTTACCCAGACTGGAGTGCAGTAGCACACTCATGGCCACCGCAGCCTCAACCTGCTGGGCTCAGGCAATGCTTCCACCTCAGCCTTCCAAGTAGCTGGAAACACAGATATGCGCCATCATACCTGGCTAATTTTCTGATTTATTGTAGAGACAAATACTCGCCAAGGTGCCCAGGCTGGTCTCGAACCTCTGGGCTCAGGCAATCCTCTTGCCTCTGCCTCCTAAAGTGCTGGGATTATAGGTGTGAGCCCGCGCCCAGCCATTCTAACTTTCTTACTTGAAAATGATATTCAGGCCAGGCTCGGTGGCTCAGCCTGTAATCCCAGCACTTTAGGAGGCTGAGGTGAGTGGATT